GCGCGGCTTGAGGCTGTCCACTCCCGTCGCCGTCTCGGCCTTGAACGACTTCGCCACCGCTCGGATGGCGTCGGGCGCGGGCGGGCCTGGGGCTTCGTCCAGGAGCTCGTTGGGGATCATCGCCTCCAAGTCGAAGCTCTCCTCCTGGTGCCGCCACACCTGCTGGTACTCCGTTTTCAGCGCCTCCAGGGTGCCTGCGATGCCCGCAGGCCGCCCGCTGGTCTCCACGTCCGCAGTCCAGCCCCGCGGGGCTCTGCAGAAGCCGTGGGCGGCCCCTGCGCCCCCGCGCACCGCCTCCTGGGCCCAGTCCCTCCAGGCCTTGGTGCGGCCCTTGGCGTCTCTCAAGTCGAACGCCTTGGCGGCCTGCCTGGCGTGGGCCTCCAAGGACTGCAGCTGGCCGTAGGTCATGGCGCCCGTCGCCCGCAGCTGGCATGCCAAGCCTGTCTGCCTGCTTAGCTTCTGGGCTGAGGCTCCCGCAGGCGGCGCCTGCTGGCCAAAAGCAGCACCGCGATCCTGTGCCAGGCGCGCGCCTGCGCCGAGCCACGGGCGCGAGTCCCTCTGCAGCCGGCGCTGATGGTGCTCTCCTGAAAGCGTGCGGGCCCGCCGCGCCCCACGCACTTCCTCAAGTCCTCCTGCTCGATGTCGAAAAGGCCGCCCAAGTCCTCCTCGAGCAGCGCCGCAAAGCTGCCGTAAAGCTCGTCCAGCGTCCTAGGCCTGCTGCCCGCGGCCTGAGGGCCCGCACCAGATCCCAGCGACTGTGATTGCCTCGCCCCAGCGCCCTCGCGCCAAGACTGGTTGCCGCTAGCCGCTGGGCTCCTCGTGCCGTCTACCCCCAGGTCGCCCTCGAGCTCAGCTCCAAGGCCCAGTCACTCGACCTCAGCCGCGCTCTCCGCCGCCTCCTCGCCAGCCTGCCGCTGGCCTGCGCCGCCAGCCTGCCTTGCAGGCTCGAGCGCGCTCTCCGTGGTGGCGTGCAGGGGCGTGTCCAGCACGTCGCCCTGCAAGGAGTGGACGACCTCCGCCCAGTCCTCGTCGTAGCACGCACGAACTCCTCGCAACGCCTCGGCCGAAGCCGACGGTGGCAGCAGCAAAGGCGGCCCCAGAACGCTCGGCACTGTCCCAGGGCCGTCGGAGCTCGCATCCACCGCAGGGCAATTTATCGCAGGCTGCCCACAACTGCTTGTCCCAGGACTTGGATCCTGGGGGACCGCTCCCAACGGGACTGGTCCCCCTGGATCGCGCCTCTCGCTACCTCCCTGGTCGAAGGCCTCATCCATGCCAGCGGCGCCTTGATCGGCAGCAGCGTCCGCCTCGCCGTCCACGCACGGGCCCAGGCTGCCAGCGGCCTCCTCCGCCTCTTCCTCGTCCCCATGCTGACGCACGTACAATTGCCGGGCGGCCGTCGGTGTGCAGCCGCTCCTGCTCCTCCTGCTCCACCTCCTCCTCGCGCTCCTCCGCATCCCCAGTCCGCATTCGTGCAGGCTCCAACTCTGCCGCCTGGCCTCGCGAGCCTACCCCGCCGATCCGGGTCGCTCAACCATGCCCGTCAAGCACGTGTTTATTTCTGGGGGGTCCTGCGGCGCCTTGGGCCTAACAAGCGGCCGAGCAGACGGCGGGGCGCAGCCGTGGCGAACTGACAGGCGCAGGGGGCGCAGGCGGGCGAGCGGCGGGGAAGCGGAGGGCCGCGGGGCGGCTGCAGGGTCCTCCGACCTTTCCGACAGGCAGAAGGTGCCCGGGAGCGCAGGCCCACGGCCAGTGCAGACGAACCGCCAGGCACCACGACGGCGACGACGACGACGCCGACGGCGGCGACGACGGCGACGACGACGACGAGGAGGATGCGGAAAGGCGCGGCGGATCTGAGGAGCGGCGCGCGTCGCGCGCGCGAGAGGTGCGCAGCGCCGCCCTCGCCGGCGAATGCGGCATGGCTTCCAGCCATGGGGGGCGGAGCCGCGCACGAGCGGGGGCGGGTTGCCGCCCTCGTCCTCGCCCTCGTCCTCCTTCCTTCGTCTTCCTTGATCATAATTCCCCCCCCCCTTCCTCGTCTTCCTCCTCCTCCTCCTCCTCCTCTTTCCCCCTCCTCCTTCCGCAGCCCTGGCACCCGCTGATCGTTGCAGCGGATGCCCACCAGAGCTAGGCGTGTGAGGGGGTCCCGGTCCCGACCGGACATTTAAAACCCCCCCGGGCCTGCGGGCGACGCGCCCCTGACCCAGGCCGCGGGGGGGGCCAAGGCCCCCGTTTTCCGCGAGGGGCCCCGCTTGAATTCGACGCTGGGGGGGGGGGCAGCAGCAGGAGAGGGGGGAGGAGGAGAAGGAGGACCACTAGGAGGCGCCACTAGGAAGCAAGGGCGGCCGGCCAGGAGGGGAGGAGGGCAGGAGGGGGAACGGAAGACGGGGGTCGGCGGTCGTCGAGTGGAAGGGTCGGTGGTCGTCGCCGCAAGTTGGCGCCCTGGTAGGTGTCGTCGTCGCCGTGCTGGTCGAGGTCGCATGGCTTGCCGCGGCGGCGCTGCTGCTGGTGTCCCCTGGCTGCAGCGTGGTTGCCACGGTGGTGCTGCTGGCGCTGCCGGTGGTACTGGCGGCAGGAGTCGTCTCGCGTCGGCGTAGCGCTCGCCGTGGTGTCGCCCGTTGCGCTGGTGCTGCTGCGCAGGCGGCTCCCCTACCTGGCAGCCAGGCTTCAGGCACGGATAGCCGCGAGTAGCGCCTCAGCGTTGCCGACCTGCAGCAGGCAGCTCAGCTGCTGCCAGGCGTACCTCAACACCTCGGTGCGGGCCGCCCCCTCGAGGCCGTGCGCCAGGGACCGCACGTAGGCCACCGCCGCATCTCCCGGACGCCCGCCCGTCTCGAAAACGACCGGGACAAGGTCGCCCCCGTGAGGTGGGTACCTCCGCCGCTTGTCGTCCTCGCGGCTTTGGGCGGCAAGGCCATCCCGGCCGGAGCGAGCCCGCTGGCGCGACTGGTCGTCGCTGTGAGCGCAGGCGATGCTCACGTCCAGGTAGACCGCGGCGCCCGTCACCGCATCGCGGGTGGCGACGTCCAACTTGGCCTCCTCCCACTCCCCGGTCCTCGGGTTAGTCCGGTGCCAGGCCACAGCAGGGCACCGTGCTCTAAAGCTCTGCCAGGAGACCGCGTCCAGGCACACTCGCACGCTTTTCAACGTCAGAGCCCAGCTTCCCAGGTAAGCCGCCGCAGCTGTCTCCGCTGCCGAAGTCAGCCCCAGTCCTCCGTGCGCGAGTCTGAGAAAACACTGCGCTCTTTGGTCCGCGCGTAGCGGGCACCCGAGTAGGTCTTCTATCCCTCTGACGACGGCGTCGTCCAGCAGCGTGGTCCAGCCCCCGTCTTCGTGGTTGGCCCGCAAAAGGTGGGTGATGCATCCGTTGCAGTAAGTCTGTAGCAGGAGGAAGCTTTCGCGGGAGCCCAGCCCGGCCGACCGAAGCTCGCGGAGTCTCGCCACCAAGCGGTCAGCTGCCTGCACTCCTCCTCCTGCTCCTGCTGTTCCTCCTCCTCCTCCTCCCCATGGCTCTGACGCTGTAGGCACTTGATATCAGACCGTGCTGCCTTCGTATCCTCCCCTACGAGGGCAGCTCCTCCTCAACAACTATTCATTTTAAATAACTCCTCCCTGTCGCATCTCGAGGCCAATCGGAAGGGCGGGCCAGGCGTTTCGCCTGACTGGGTTATCACTGATGACCCTGAAGCGAATCGGCAACAGCTTCACGGATGGAGGGCGGGTATTTCAAAAGGAGGGCGGGTATTTCAAAAGGTGGCTCTCGCCTTAGCGCCGTGCTCATTCGTCGTAACAGCGTGTAAGAGTTTCACAGATTGAGGGCAGGGCGTTTTTACAACTTGGCTCGCACCTTAGCTCCGTGCACATGTGTCCTAGCACCTTGCAAGGTTTTCACGGATTGAGAGCCGGCCATTTTCAAAATCTGGCTCTCGCCGTAGCGCCGCGGAAGATCGTCTTGAAGTACATTGTGGGGGTGTCACGGGATGAGGGCGCCCCCTTTCAAACAGACGGCTCTCGCCTCGGCGCCGCGCACATTCGTCTCAAACAGTTGCAGGAGCTTCACGGGTTCGAATGGCTAGCGTACCAGGAGTTCTGTCTTGGAGCGATTCAGACTTGTCGAAGCGCCAGAATTTCGTTGACTCGTGGTGTTGAAGTCCCGGGAACTGTGTTCTGGCACGATTCAGGATCGTCAAACCGCAACAATCAGATTTATTCGTGGCGTTGGAGCCCCGGGAATGGTGTTGTGGCACGCTTCAGGATCTTCCAACGGGTTTCTCCCAAGGGACACTTCCCTCAGTGGGGATGAATCCTTGCAGGGGCTTATGGGGGAGCTTGGACGGAGGGTTTATTCCAATACCGATGGTGAGTCTTGAGCTTACTCTGGTCCAACTCAGGGCTCGCCCTGAAAGTTGGTTTCCGTTTTCGTTGTGTTGTGTTTTTTCCTCGTTCTGTCTTCTTTCTGCCTTTGCTGCAAACCGAAACCAAACGAAAACGGACCTTGAGATCGCTGAAACACCGTTTTGGTCGAGCCCTGGTCCAACTCCATCCTCTTCCTCCTCCACGTCGGGATGGACAATCATCGTGCCATGGCTGGACGTTGCATCGCCGATGCATCGGCGGTGCGGCGGGATCCTCCGACCCCATCTGCTCCTCCTGCTCCTCCTCCTCCGACCTGCCTGCCATCCTCCTCCTCTCCTCCTCCTCCTCCTCCTCCGCCTCCGCCTCCTCCCTGGCCCCTCTCGATCTTTCAGCAACTTCTCCTCCTCCTCCTCTTCTTTCTGCCGCTCCTCCTCCCGCTCCTCCTCCTCCTCCTCCTCCTCCTCCTCGTCGTCGTCGTCGTCGTCGTCGTCGTCGTCGTCGTCGTCGTTCGTCGTCGTTCGTCGTCGTCGTCGTCGTCGTCGTCGTCGTCGTCGTCGTCGTCTTCGTCGTCTTCGTCGTCTTCTTCGACGTCGTCGTCGCGCCGTCGTCCCCACTTCCCGAGAGCCCCCGCTGCTAAGCGCCTGGTGGTGGCAATGCTCGCACTCGCGCAGCTCGGCCGTCATGACGGGGGGGGGCGATCCGCCTCGCGGAGCTCGCTGTGGGGAGCTCATCCCCCTCCCCCTCCCCTCCTCCTCTTCCTCCTCCTCCTCCTCCTCCTCCTCCTCCCTCCCTCCCCTCCCCCTCCCCCTCCCCCCATCCCACTCCCCCTCCCCTCCTCCTCCTCCTCCTCCACCTCCTCCTTCTTCTTCTCCTCCTCCTCCTCCTCCTCCTCCTCCTCCTCCTCCTCCTCACCACCACCACTTTCACCACAAGCATCATCAACAACATCACCATTACTATCACCATCCTCATCTTCGTTCCCATTCTCGTCTTCATCCCCATGCTCATGCTCATCCGCCTCTCCGTGCCCCCCCCTGGCACGTTGGGGCGTGCTGGACTGCCAAGTTCTGCCTGCCAGGGTTGCTGTAATCTTCTACCCCCCCCTACTAGCACTGGCCCGCAGGCATCGTCCCCCCTCTCCCGAGTCCGCAGTCCCGAGCAACCTGCGACAGATTCGCACTCTCGAGGCCACGGTCCTTTGTGAACTGCGGCAAGCTGGCGCTCCCGAGGCCATGGCCCCTGGTACAAGAAGGTGGACGCGCACTCCCGAGGCCAAGCCGCCACCACGACGGCCTACGCTGGCGGTATGACTGTCCGCTTTGGCTTTGGCCTCAAGACTGCCCCCAAGGCTGTCCACGGGGGCCCCAGCACGGCCAACGAGGGCCCCTCCAGGGCCATCAACATTGCCTCCCAAGAGGTCAAGACAGCCACAAGGCGGCCCAAACGAGTTCCATGACGGCTCCCAAACTAGTGACGACGAAACGTGCCACACGTGACGGCCTTCTTCGTCCTCCTCTTCTTCCAGCTCCTCCTTCCGCTCCTCCTGCTCCTCCTCCTCCTCCTCCTCCTCTTCCTCCTCCTCCTTCTCCTCTCCCTCCTCCTTCACACCATCCTCATACTCCTCGTCCTCATCCTTCTCCTCGCATTCGTCCTCCTTCTCCTCTTCCTCCTCCTCCTCCTCCTCCTCCCCACCACCACCACCATCATCATCACCATCAACCTTATCATTCACGCCGTCATCACCATGATCCCCATCGACATCAGCATCATCATCATCATCGTCGTCATCATCATCATCACCATCATCACCATCATCACCACCATCACCATCACCATCGCCACCATCATCATCACCATCGTCATCATCATCATCATCATCATCATCATCATCATCATCATCGTCATCAGCATCGTCATCATCAGCAGCATCACCACCATCATCACCATCCCCATCCTCATCATCCTCATCACCATGATTCTCATCATCAACATCTTCGACATCGCCATCGCTATCGTCGTCATCATCATCATCACAACTCCCCCCAACCTGGGGACACGAAGAGTCCCACGTGACGGCCGCCCGTGTCCCCTCGATCATCGCCATCCAAGATGCTGGGCTGCGGCTATGATGAGACTTGTCGTAACCAGTAGGATATCTACCGATAGGACCACCCTACGGGTGATAAGGAGGTTTGGGGGGAAGGGGGAGGCGTCGATTTGCGATGGCCCTGAGTTCCTTAGTGATTTCTTCAACTGTCCTGGTCGCGCACATCTGCCCATCTATCTATCGACCTATCTATCGAGTTATCTACTCAGCATACCCATCGATACATCTGTCTATCGATCTACCTATGCACCTATCTATCTACCTACCCATGCATCTATTTAACTATCTATCTATACATCCATCCATCGGGACACCCATCGGGACACACATCTGGACAGCCACCGAGACAACCATCGGGACAACCATCAGGAACACTATCGGGGCAGCAATCGGAACAACTATCGGGACATCCATCGGGACATCTATTTACCCACATCATCATCATCATTATCAGTATCATCATCATCATACTCATCATCATCATCATCACCATCAACATCATCCTCCCCATCATCATCATCATCATCATCATCATCACCATCATCATCGACACCATAACCATCATCCTCATCCTCACCCTCATAGTCATCCTCATCCTCATCCTCATTTTCATCACCCTCGTCACCATCGTTACTATCATCAATACCATCACCATCACCACCACCATCATCATCATCATCATCATCATCATCATCATCATTATCATCATTATCATAATGATCAGCATCCGCATCATCATCAGCGTTGTCGTCATCGTTGCCGTCGTCGTCACCACCATCAGCTGCAACATCACCAGCACAGTCATCATGATTACCACCATCCCCATCACCATCATCGCCATCGTCATCATCATCGTGAGCAACATACTCATCATCGTCGTCATCACCACCACCGTCATCATCATCATCATCATCACCATCATCATGCTCGTCATGTCCATCATCATGTCCATCAACAATTACATCATGATGATGATGATGATCATCAGGGTAATCGTCGTCTTCATTATCCCACAACCAACATATTTAACTCCACCATCACCACTACAATTATCATCTTCACGCCATCGCCTCCATTTTCACATCATTCGCTCTCCGCCCCGTCGCAGCACCGCTCACCGATGTGCTGTGTACCAAACGTTGCAAAATGCGCCTGTTCCTAAATGCGTGCTTCCGTGCTGATCGTTTGCGCGCCTCGGGTCCGGCGCCGCCGTCGCCATCGTCGTCGCCGTCGTCGCCGCCGTCGTTGCCGCCGTCGTTGCCGCCGTCGTTGCCGCCGTTGTCTTCGGTGTCGTCGTGGTCGTGGTTTGTGTTGCTCTGCTCGGGACTTTACTTTTTTCCTCATGCAGTGGCCACCCACCGCCGCCCCCGCCACCGCCTCCGCCTCCTCCTCCGCCTCCTCCCCGTCCTTCCTCCAGCGCCTCGCTCCTCGCCACGCCAGCGACTTGTGGCCTGTACTACGACACGGGGAGGGAAGGGGGCAGGACTGGCAAACGATGGCTCCCCTCCCCTCCTGGCCTCCTCCTCCTCCTCCTCCTCGCCTCCTCCTCCTCCTCCTTTTCAAATTTGGGCGAGCTTCTACCGTCAGATTGTAGCGCTCCTCGGGCAACAACAAGACTCTGACTTAGCAGAATGTGGCAGCGAATTATGGCAGCAGATAGTGCGGAAAAAAGACATACAGCGACAGTCGGCGAAAACTGAGGGGCCCGCGACGGCATGGAGTAACTAAGCTGGCTGCCTCCTCCTCCTCCATCCATTTCTCCACCTCGCCCCTCATCCTCCTGCTTGGCGGCGCCCTCTTCAGATCATCCATCCTTCTCCTCCTTTTCCTTCCCCTCCCCGCGCCTCCTCCCCCCTCCATCGCCCCCTCCCCTCTCCCCATCCTCCGCCCGCCACCACTACAAGGAGGGCCGACGACAGGGGGGATCTGATTTAGGGGATGAAATATCAATCTTGAATCGAGGAGGAGGAGGAGGAGGAGGAGGAGGAGGAGGAGGAGGAGATCGGCGATAATTAGGCCTCCGATAGATAAGCCCCTACTGGCGACGAGTGAGCGATTCGGGGTCGATGCGCCTCCCCCTAAGCCTATCCCTTCCTGACGTTCCCCCTGATCGGATGCACATGAAGGCTCGGGGATTTCGGGCCAGAACTGGGGCCTACGGCGGCCGTTCGGGACGGTTCTGGCAACCTGACAGAGCTCCTGGCGAAGCGCAACTGCTGGCTGCTGGGAAGCATCCCGAGGCGAAAGAACCTTCGAGAACCAACGGGAACTTCCGAAAAGCACCAGGCTCTTCCACTCCCCTTTGCCCCCTCCCCTCTCTTCACCCCTCCTCTCCGCTCAGCGCGGAGGAGCGCGCGACGACGACGACGGCGACCACGACGACAGCGACCGCGAGCACAACGACGACGACGAGGGACCACGGCGACGGCGACGGCGACCACGACCAACGCCGACGACGACCACCACCACGACGAGGATGACTCGGCGGCGAGCCTTCCCCGAAGACGCAGGGCCTCGGAGAAGCCCCGCCGCCTTCTGAGGAGGCCCTCTCCTTCTCAACTCCCTCCCCTCGCTCGCCGCCGACGATGACGATTGCGATGACGACGACGACGACGACCCACAACGACCGCCTCCGTGCGAGCGGTGGGCTCCACGACCGGGCCCTCCGCGGCGCGATGCTGGCCTCTACACGGCGAGGCGCCCACGAGAGACCACGGCGACGGCGATGGCGATGGCGACGACGACGACCACGACTGCGACGACGACGACGACCACGACGACGACGACGGCCCACGACGACCCACGTCGACGACGACGACCACGACCACGACCACGACCACGACGACGACAACGACCACGACCACGACCACGACGACGACGACGACGACGACGACGACCACGACCACGACCACGACGACGACGACGGCGACGACGGCGCCGACGACGACGACGACGACGACCGCCGCCTCCGTGCGAGCGGCGGGCTCCGCGACCCGGCCCTCCGCGACTCACCGCCGGCCTCTACATGGCCCCCGGCGCCCCCGCGCGCCGCCGCATGCCGAGGGGCCGGCCCCCCGCCCTCGCAAGGGGGGGCGCCGGGGCGCCCGCGAGGTCGCCGGGCGCCGCCCGGCCACCCGCGGGGGGGGCGTCGTCGTCGTCGTCGTCGTCGTCGTCGTCGTCGTCGTCGTCGTCGTCGTCGTCGTCCCCAGAGCAAGCCTCGAGTACTTACTCCGAGTTTCTTCACGAGCGTCGGGGGGGCGTCACCCCCGCCGACAGCCCCACATCGACCCCCCGTCGCGGGCAGCCACGGCGCGCCGAAGGCGCTCCGACCCCCGTCGCAGCGCGACGACGAGGCGAGGCCGACCCCCGTCAGGGGGTTATACCCCCCCATGCTTATCAAGTCATCCGGAGCAGGGGATCCTGCCCTGCTCTGCAGGATCTTGCAGGCGCGCTCTGGGGGGGGGACCTCGTCCCCAGAGCAAGCCCTGGCCATCGCTCGGACGTCCATTTCCTGTATTTTTTTCGGTATCGTGCGGGGTTTTTCCGCGAAATGATCAAGGATGCTCCTCGATGGTCCTCGCCGAAGGAAAAATGCACACGTCCGAGCGATGCCAAGAGCCTGCAGGATCCTGCAGGATCCTGCGCCCGAAGCCCGGGTCACTGCGACGCTGGCCCTGCCGAGCGCTCTTGTGCGGCCTCCTCCGGGGGGCTGCCCGCCTGGATGACCCAACCATGGTTCAAGCATACGACATACACGTAAGCGCTGGCCGCCTCCTCCTCCTCCTCCTCCTCCTCCTCCTCCTCCCGATTTCGGTGCTCGCGGGCGTCGGGGCGGCGACGTGAACGACGAAGGGTTTTTGTGCACGACGCCACAGCGACCGTCCGCCGCGGCTTACGCGCGTCGCGTGGCTGCCCGCTGGGGTACCATCCCAAACGCCGCCCTCTTTTGGCGCGCCAGACATGCTGGCCTCGTTTCTGAACGTTTCCGTCGGTTTTCGAGAGCTTTTGTTTCGGGGATCTTCTGTCCCGGGTCAATCCAAACCAGGGTCAATCAGGCTTTGCATGGTCCTGCAAGATCCTGCAGGACCCTGCACCCAAGGCGGGGTCAGTGCGACCAAGGCCCTGCAAGATCCTGCAAGATCCGGCACTCTGGCTGACCTCCGCTTGCACTCCCTCCCGTCTCTTGAGCCCCGATTGCTCGAGTAGGGGATCGACTACAGGACTGATCTGCCCAAGCATTTTTTTTGTCGAATGTCCGAACAATACTTGGACTGCTCGTAGACCTGCAAGAATTCTCCCTTTTCTTCGTGCACTCGACGAGCAAATCACTGTTGGGGTGAACCAGTTAGCTTCAGTTTTAAGTCGGGCCTGTCCCCGCAAAGGCGGATCTTGGGCGAAAAGTTAAAACTACTACACGAATACCCTTAAATATTCTAAAATTGTCAAGAATCGTCCCCAGACTATTCTTTTGACTATTTCTGCATTGTAGTCGACCCCCTGCTCGAATTTGTTGGCTCCTCGGGAGGCCTCCCGCCTCTCGGGGTGCGGCTCGGCCTGTGCGCCCGGGGAACGCCTCGAAGGGCCGCCGAGGGCCGCTGCGCGCGCCGCGTGCGGCTGCCCGCTGGGGCCCGCTCTCCTCGAAGGCCAAAACATCGCATGCACCGTCGGGGGTGGACACGCACTTCCCAGAGGGCACCCTCCCCAGAGAGTTCCCTCTCGATGCGAAATGTGGCAGTGTTCCAACTGCTGGTGTCGGTAGGGCGCGGGTTTCGGGGCCGCTTCTCTGAGCGCGCCAGAGTGTGCGCTTTGAAGTTGCCGGTCGGCGTCGGGGGGGACGTGGAGCTGGGCGGCGCTGGGGGGTTGTCGTCGCCCGCGAAGAGCGGCAGGGGTACCCTATACCCGCCCCGAACGGACCTCGGTCTCGTGCCTCGGCCCGACCGTACGGCACTCCAGCCGCACGACGAGGCCCTCGAGGATCACGCCCCCCAGGCGGTGGTCCCCCCCCGACGATTTGGGAAGGTCTGCGAGAGGACACGCGACCCTTTGGGAAGGTCTGCGAGAGGACACGAGACCCTTCCCATGGCCACATTGCCAGTGGAACAGAGGAGGGCAGGGGTCGCGAAACGCAGGACACAAGGGTACCCCTGTCTGGGCAGGGTCGACCCACTTATCAGACTCGACTGCAGTGGGAAGTCGAACACGCGTGTTTTTTTTGGAAGCAGGCTCGACTTCCCAGTACACGCAGCTCATCTCAGGCCAACAGAAAAACGCGTGTCTTGGGAGCGTAAGCTCACGGGGGGTCCGCCCGGGGAGCAACACTGCTGGAATCGGCGCTGGAGCCTCCTGGCGGCGCTTCTGGCGCCGCCCCTGGCGCGCTCCGCGCGCCAGGGAGGGGGGCCCAGCGCCCATCCGAGAAGTCCGCGCCGACCTCCACAAGTGTATGCTCCTGTGGTTCCACCAGCCCTCTGGGCGGAGGTGGCTCAAAGAGCTCCTTCAACCACCCTCCTTCTTCCCCTTCGGGGAGGGGCTCCCCCTCTCCCCCCTCCCCCTGTGTATTGCTGCACTTCCCTGATCAAGCGAACGCTTTCCTATCCGGCGCTTCGACATGGGGGAGGGGGGGGTCTGGCCTCGGACCTCTGCTGAACGCGACTGATTGCAACAGTGCGTCCTATGGGGGAGGACTAGTGCGAGGGCCCGCGCCGACCGGCAGAACAATGAAGCAGAGAATCTGAGAAACTACAGGCCTCGGAACAAATTAGCGGACATTCATGCCGCATTCATCCGTCAACGCCTCCCCCTCCCCCCAGTGTTCAGAGCTGGCGGCGAGTCCGTCGAGATGCACTTCGACCGCAGTCTCCCCCGCGCGTGCCAACATTGAGTTTGAGGGGGAGGGGGAGTGTTCAGTAATTGTTTCCCTCTACCGTATCAACACAAGACAACTCCTCCGAGGATCGTGTCCGGATGGGCTGGCGAGGACATCGCGAGGCGTCAACACTTTGTGCCTCTTTCGCTCTCCGCCGCCGCCCTTCTTGCGGGTGGCCCCCCTCGCGGGGGGGTGGCGATCTGCGCCGGCGACGACGTGGCCGCCGTGCTCGCTGTCCCAGTCGCGGTCGGTGTAGTTAGTCGTCGTCGTCGTCGTCGTCGTCGTCGTCGTCGTCGTCGTCGTCGTCCGCCGTCGTCGTGGTCGTCGTCATGTTCGTGTTCGTGGTCGTGGTCGTGGTCGTGGTCGTCGCCTTCGCCTTCGCCGTGGGCCCTTCCGTGGTCGTCGCGGTCTTCGTGGTCTTCGTGGTCGTGGCCGTCGTGGTCGTGGTGGTCGTCTCGGTCGTCGTCTTAGGTCGGGCATGTCCCCATACATGCGGATTTTGGACGAAACATAAACGATAGTCAAACAATCCCCCAAAATGGTCAAACATAGTCAATACATCGTCCCCACTTTTTTTCTGTTATATAGCTATTCTTGAGTTTTCCTCCTGTAGAGGGACCGGCCCGACTTAAAATCGTCTTTCTGGCTGCTGCCCGCCGTGCGGGGCCCTCGGCGCACGAATTTTTGGACGCCCGAAAGGGGTGCGGAAAAAATGGGCTACAGTGCCCAACAACAATCGGGTCGGGCGAAAGGGGGGGATAGCAAAGGGGGGGTTTGAGAATCAGCTCGCGTAGCTGATTTTCCCGGCGCCTCCCGGCGCCGGAGGCGGCCATGTATCGAGGAATGGGCCCCTCGGTGAGGCCGAAACCAGCTGCATGCAGCAAATTTCGTAACCCCCCCTTTCCCAATCCCCCCCTTTCGCCCGGCCCGAAACAAATGTTGTCCTAAACCAACAGCGGCCGCTGTTGGGCAGGCGGCCTGCTGTCTCACAGTGCACAGGCCGCGGCGAGCGACATCGACAGCGAGTCCTGTTCATAATGAACAGGATGTGCTGTTGGGCATTGCACCCACTCCGCACCCATGTCGTTCGTGCCGAACGAAAGCCCCGCCGCCGTGGCCGGGGGGGGGCACTCCGACCCCCAGTCGGGGGCTGCTGGAGGTGCCCCCCGGCCCAGGGTGCCCCCTGGTCAATGCCTCGCTCTCCTGTGGCCTCTGCTGTGTCCCCAAGGGCTCCTAACTTCGCGCTTCGCGCTGCGCGAAGCGCGAAGTGCGAATGACTTCGCGAGCTCGCGCCGCCTCCCAGGGGAGAAGAGGAGGATGAGGAGGAATCGGAGCCGAACCGCGAAGCGCGAACAACCTCGCGCCCTCGAGGGCGCCCTCGTGTTCCTGCTCGTTAAGCATCTGTCACGTGTGCGGAGCTACACTGTCAATGCCGCGCGTCTCCTGTGGCTTTGCTGTGTTTCTGCTCGCAACGCACACCGCCAGAGGCGGCGAAGAGCTTGAGAGATCCACCTACCAAGAGTGGATTGCCATGGAGGCCCCCACGGCCTCCAGAGCAACCCTCACGAGGGCCAGACGGCCCCAGGGGCTCCAGAGTTGAGCGAGAAGCTGGGGGCACGTTGGGCCAGGGGCACCTTTGGCAACCTCCGATCCAACGCCGTGCCAATGACCAAGCCTCCGCGGGCCCTCTGCGGGCCGCTGGGCCGTCAACAGCAGGCTCGCCCTGAGATCCGTGTGGCTCCACTGTTTCGGGCCAGGCGTTCTCGCCTGCTTCGGGGCCCCGGGACCCTCGCGGATCGATCTGGCTCGAGACATGACGCAGAAAGATGGTGTCTAGGGCTCTGGGCGTGATGTTTTACGATGCTGCAGCTTTTTTTCGCCACGCCAGATCTCAGGGCGGGATGGGCAGACGCTGCCGGGGAAAGCGTATGGGGGACTTCTGGGGGCTGCGCGTGGGGCAGACCAGGGCATCGGATGTCTCGTGGAGTCCTGCGTATGCGCCTGGAGGGTGCCTGGAGGGTGAGTACGGGGACGAGGTATGGGGCGAGGGGTGGAGCGAGGCGCGGGTGATTCGGGGCGCATGTTTAGAAGATGAGCGGTAGGATGGAGGAAACGGGAGGAGCAAGGAGGGATGGATATGGAGAGGAGGAACAACTGGGTGAGTTCGACATTTTTATATACATACACATAGGTATATACATACACATGTATATGTATGTGTATA